TCCCTCCCTCATCCCCCTTCACCCCAACCCAATCCCCTCTCTCTCTCCCTCCCTCACCCTCACACCCAATCCCTCTCTCTCTCTCCCTCCCTCACCCTCGCACCCAATCCCTCTCTCCCTCTCCCTCTCTCACCCTCACACCCAATCCCTCTCTCCCTCTCCCTCCCTCACCCTCGCACCCAATCCCTCTCTCCCTCTCCCTCCCTCACCCTCGCACCCAATCCCTCTCTCCCTCTCCCTCCCTCACCCTCGCACCCAATCCCTCTCTCCTTCTCCCTCCCTCACCCTCGCACCCAATCCCTCCCTCTCTCTCTCTCTCTCTCTCTCTCACACTCACGCCCTCCAGCCTTCGCTGACCTCACCTCAGGTTTCAAACCCCCTTCAATTTTCTCTTTCGGTTTACTGTGCTCTTTGGATTCCAAAAGCATCTGCTCATGTGTTTAGTCTCCGTGTCGCTGGCGATCGCCTTATCTGACAATCCCTCTCGTCTCCCCTCCCCCTCTCTTTCCTCCTTCTCTCCCTCCCCTCCCCCCCCCCCTCTCTCTCTCTCTCTCCACTTCACTCTCTTCCCCCTTTTCCTCTCTCTCTCTCTCTCTCTCTCTCCTCCTTCCCCCCTTTGCTCCCCCCCTCTCGAGAAGTCTCAACGACGTGATACGGTGTTATAGCAAATGCAAGGATTATTATTATTATTATTATTATTATTATCCTCGGCAGATTGCAGTGGCCCTTCGACAGTTAAAGGAGATCTCCAGTTCTGCACTTTATTTGCCAACGTCATGTCGAGCTACAGGCGAACCGTACCCACACTATATACAGTCAATTCACATCGTCAACAGCAGCAACAACATCACATTTGTATGAGCGCCTTTCAATAATAATAATAAAATATTGAACAAACCAGACCTGAGTGTACAAACGCACACAGACACACGCACACACAGACACACACACACACATACACACAGACACATCCATACGCACGCACCGACAGACACTTACACACACAGACAGACAAACACACATACACACGCATATACACACGCACAAACACATACACACACACACACACAGAGACACACACACACACACACAGACACACAAGACACATACACCCACAGACAGATACACACACACACACACACACACACAATGTGTTTTTCCTCCACTGCAATACAACATAAAATTACACCCGTACAGCAGCAGCTCTCACGTCAGGAAGACGTCCCAATAAGGTCAGCAGAATTAATATTTAACCTATAATTGACTATCGTTGGGAAATAACAGTGCCGACGTGATAACCCAAAGCAATCCTCTGCTCTCACCGTGCCTCCAATAAATAATAACAGTAATTGTGGCTCAGCCCCGGCACAGCCCTGTCAAACTCTTCGGGACGTCTCGATGGCGGGTTGATAAAAGCGCCGGATCAAATGGAAGGATTACCATCGTCCTTACATTTGATACACCGCCTTTCACCTCAAAGCTTCACGGGATTCATTGTAAAATGCTGGCAGTTTGCCTGGCGATCGGCCATGAAACGAGCGACCCATGTTATTTTACAGGCGGAGTCCTGCAGCTCAGTGGTTCGAGCGCTCGCTTTGCGAGCGAGAGACCCGGGTGCGGTTCCCCGGCAGGTCAGGGCCAAACCTCGGGCAAGTTTCCTTACTCCAGACAGAGCCCTAATAATAATCCCTCCAAAAAAAACCAAAACAATCATAAATTGGTCATTTTCAATCCGCGACTGTCTGTGGGACAGACGCTGCTGTGTGTGCGCAATCGGCCGCCGCGTTCGCCCACAAATATACGGTCAATTCACTTTACAGTATATTCTGTGAAGCGCTTTGGGGCGTCGAGAAGACGTGAAAAGCGCTATATCGAATGCGAGGATTATTATTGTTATTATATCTGGAGGATTGTTGGTCGGGACACCAGGAGAGAGAGAGAGAGAGAGAGAGAGAGTGAGAGAGGCCCTTTTCGAATAGCGCTCGGGATCTTGAACATCCACCTGAACAAGGCACAGACGGGGAGTGAGGTTTAACGTCTCGTCCTGAGGACAGTGACTCTGACAACGCAGTGCTCCCCACCCACCCCCACACCACCCCCCAGCACAGCACTGGAACATTAACCGGGCTTGAACCCACAACTATCATCCTGTTAGCACCCCATCTCTCCCCTCAGCCCAGGCTTTCCACGCCTGGTAGTTTAATGCACTGAAGACCTTGTCCTCCAGATGGACTGAGTCTTATTCCGATGTATCCCACCTCCGTACAGTGAGTACTTGACCCGACATGAAAAGCAAAGTCAACCTCCGCACCTCGGGCTCTGGCAGCATCGGCCTCCGCGGCGGCACACTCACCCTCACTAAGCCAGTCAGGAACCTGGGGGTCTTGTTTGATTGACCCTGAACTGTCCTTTCTCCCCCCACATCTCCCGCCACATTGCCAGACTCCGCCACTGCCTCACCCCCTCAGGCTCCCCCTCACCCACACATTCGTCACCTCAAGGCTCGATTACGGGAATTCCCTCCTCATCGGCCTTCCCAACTCTTCCCTTCACAACCTGCAGATCATCCAAAACTCTGCACTCTATAGATGTAACGTTGTTGTGGTGGTGGAATGACTGCGAAGGGATTAGTGTCTCGTTGTATAATTTCCCATCATACCAGAATCCAAAGGGATGACTGAGGATGTTTTGCGTCCGGTCACTAAGTGCAGTGATTGTAATGATGTAATAATTACTCTGATGGTGACATCTGTTTTGGTTGTTTAGTCACAAAGGCTCCTGCAATCGGTGCATCGAAGACCTGAGTTCAATTCCCAACCAGACAGGTCGAAACCTTAGGCAAGTTTCCTTACTCCCCCCACACACACACACACACACACGCGCGCACACGCGCCTCTGTTTACCTCGCAGCAAAACAAGTAGGACCCTGGTTGTTAATTGGTGGATCGCTATTTCCAGGGGTAATAATCTCTAAATCCACGGTATTGCCGTCCGCGATTGGCCGCCGCGTTTCACCCACAAAACATACAGTCAATTCACTTTACGGCATATCCTGCGAAGTGCTTTGAGACGTCTCGACGACGTGATCAGGCGCTGTATCAAATGCCAGGATTATTATATTATCCTGTGCGTGTGTATATATATATATATATATATATATAAGTTCCCTAGAGCTGCAGTGCCATCTGGTGCACACTCACAAAGCAGCTGCTTCCCAGAAATTAATACCAATGCGGAAAAAAAAACCTTTCCAGAATCAGCCAGGACAAGACACAGCAAGCTAGGAACAGGGCGAGGCCATTCAGCCTCTCGAGCCTGTTCCACCATTCTATTAGATCATGGCTGACTTGGTTCTCAACTCCAATTACCCGCCTTCGCCTCATATCCCTCGATGATGATGATGATGATAATAATCCTTTGCATTTGATACAGCGCCTTATCACGTCTTTAGAGACGTCTCAAAGCGCATCATAGAATATACTGTGAAGTGTGGTGACTGCGTATTTTGTGGGCCAAACGCAGCAGCCAATTGCGCACAGCAGCGTCCCACAAACAGTGATGATCGCTACCCGTGGCGTAAGGAAACTCGCCTAAAGGTTTCGCCGCTCGGGAATCGAACCCGGGTCCTCTCGCTCGCGAGGCTACAGGACTGAGTTACAGGACTGGGGGTGTACTTGGTGACAGCCCAGAGTGAGAGAGAATACGGTTAGAGTGCGGGCAGTGCAGAAACACCCACAAACAGGTCATTTCTGGATCATATTTATTCATTTGCTGGGCGTTTTGTCCCCACGGTTTGTCCCGGTGGGCTTTTTAAATAGTTTTGTATCGCAGCCGTCATCTGAAAAAAAAAATCATCGCAATCGGACTCGGACAGTCAACAGCAGAGACACAACCATCAAAATCAGACCCAACAAGTCATTTGCAAATGCAAATACAATCATCGAAATGAGGGGTTTTGATAAGAGTTGACGGGGGAGAAACTGTTTCCTCGGGCGGGCGGGTAACCAGAGGACACAGGTTTAAGGTAACTGGCGAAAGAACTAGAGGGGAACCAGACGAGGAGACATTTTTTTTTTATTAAACGCAGGGAGTTGTTACGGTCTGGAACGCGCGACCTGAAAGGCCGGTGGAAATGTATTCGATAATGGCTTTCGGAGGGGAATTGGAATAGGGACGCGAAAAGGAAACCTGCGCAGGGCTCTGGGGTAAGAGCGGGGGAGTGGGACTGATTGGGCAGCTCTTCCAAAGAGTCGGCACAGGCGCGATGGGCCGAATGGCCTCCTTCTGTGCTGCAAGGTTCTATGCTTCCATGACCAGACCCAACTAAAGCGAGTCACGGTGTTGTTCCTCATCCCAGTGGCGGGCAGTGCTGGGCTGAATGTCAGCGTTCCCGTGAGCCATGCAAGGACACAATATACCACCACCCACCCCCCACCCCCACCCGTGTCCTGTGAGGGAATCGCACTCTCCCCCACCACTCTCCGCCCTCACATATTGTCGTGCTGCTGATCTGTCGGAGCGGCGTTTCACAGTCAGGACGTGCAAACCCCTAATCTCTGTCGGGAACGAGTGCCGGGCTATTCCCATCGATCCCGAAACAGTCCTGAAAAAATGCCACGATGTTCTTCTCCAGGTGTTCCTTGTTCCTCTCCGACCTGAAGTAGTGACCTTCGTCCGGGTAAACCTGAGTGAGAACAAAAGCCAGAGAGTGCCTTGTATAACCGCATGCTAACCTCGTGATAACCGTGTGCTAACCCCATGATAATGGTGTGCTAACCGTGTGCTAACCGGGTGATCACCCCGTGATAACCGTGTGCTAACCCCATGATAACTGTGTGCTAACCCTACCTGTGCCGTGTAATTGGCCTTGACACCGATCAGCCTCCTGAGCAGCTCAGCCGTGTGTTGGAAATGTACCCGGGCTGCGAGACAGGAGCCAGAAGTCAGACTGAGGGCTCGCAATGATCACAAACCACCCCCTCAATTCCCCCTCAACCCCCCCCCAGCCGCCATTTCACATTCTTTCATCACCTCCAGGCTCAACTACGCCAATTCTCTGCGTTTTGGCCTTCCCGACTCCTCCCTCCATAGGCTGCAGATAATCCAGAACTCTGCAGCCCGTGTCCTCTCCCGCACCAAACTCCGTGACCCCGTCTCCCCCACTCTCGCCCGACTCCATTGGCTCCCTGTCCTTCACAGGATCCAGTTCAAGATCCTGGTCCTCACCTACAAAGCCCTTCATGGCCTCTTCCCACTCTACCTTTGCCACCTCCTAACCCCCTACCAACCCGCCCGCTCCCTCCGCTCAGCCGGCTCTGGCTGCTCCACGACCCCCGATCCATCTGCCCCACCATTGGCGGGAGAGCCTTCAGCCACTCTGCCCCCAACCTCTGGAACTCCATCCCAGAGCCTCCACACGCGTGCGGTCGCTTACCGTCTGCCGTGCCGTGCGCCAGGAGAAAGCGACGGTTCTGCAGTTTGTGCGTTTCCTCCAGGAGCGAAGCCGCCTGGAACAAGCCAGAGAATCCGTCAGCGTTTAACGGCAAGCGCTGAGCGGGGAGCGGGGGAGTGGGGGCTCGGGGCGGGGTCAGCAACACAACGGAGGGAGACTGAGATCAGCGCAGGCTGGGGATGGGGGTGTAATCCACGCTCGCTGTGTGTGGAACCGGGTGGGGGGTGGGGGGGAGAGAGAGGGGGAGAGGGAGAGAGAGAGGAGACACTCACCGTGTAGGACAGGTCCTCGAGCGACGGCAGCCCCAGGAACCGCTCGGATACCACAGCCGCTGGAACATAGACACCGTCTCCGTGAGTCGTCCACAGCGACAGGTATCAGCGCCGTGCAGAGGGTGGGGGTGGTGGGGGGGGAGTGAGTGCTGGGTGGGGGGAGTGAGTGCTGGGTGGGGGGAGGGCACACATACATGCTTCTTACACATACACACTTCACACACGCACGCTTCACGCACATGCAATCACACGTGTGTCTCACACACACACACTTCTCACACGGACGCACACACATGTGCCCCGGTTACGAGCTCTCACCGTGCAGTCTGAAGTCAGTGATGGGAGCCATGGCCACTCCACATTTAAACATGAACTCGGTGGAAGCCAAGAGCCTCAGAGCTAAATAACCCCCATAGCCCTGAGAGGAGGGACAGAGACAGAGACAGTGACAGAGACAGTGAAGAGTCTGAAATCAACCATTTGCCACACAGCACAACAACAACTTGCATTTACACAGCGCCCCCTCACACAGGATAGCGTCCCAGAGCGGTGACAGTGGGGGTTGGAGGGCAGAGGGAGGGATGGGGGGGGGGGGGTGTGGGAGGTGAGGTGACCGTAGGCACAGGTCAAATTGGAAGGTCTTCAGGTGCGACTTGGGGAAGATGAGGAAGGAAGAGCGTAAAGCAACAACTTGCATTTGTATAGCGCCCTTTACGTGGGGTGGAGTCCCAAAGTGCTGGACAACCTCGGCTGCAGCCTCCAGACCCCCACCCCGCTCTCCACTCTCCCCCCTCCCCCAGCTAAAACCACAGAGCCTGCCATTGAGAGCAGAGGGAGAGAGAGAGAGGGGGAGAGAGAATACAGAGCGATACAGAGGTGCTCGGGGAGAGGGAGCTGCTGTTTACGGTGCGTTGGTACCTTGCCATAAACTCCCACTCTCCTCCTGTCCACAAAGGGAAGCTTCAGCAGAGCTCTGCAGTGAGAGAGAGAGAGGGTGAGATTATCAGAGGAGTGCAACGGGAAGAATGGGAGGGGGGAGGCGAGGGAGGGAAAGGGGGAGAGATGGAGGGAAAGGAGATGGAGAAGGGTGGGGGGCGGGAGAAGCTAGGGGAGGGAGGAGAGAGGTGAAGGGAGGGGGGAGAGGGGCGAAGGGAGGGGGGAGAGAGGCGAAGGGAGGGGGGGGAGAGGCGAAGGGAGAGGGGGGGGAGAGGAGGGAAGAGAGGCGAGTGGAGTGGGGGAGAGAGGCGAGGGGAGGGGGGGCAGAGGCCAAGGAAGAGGGGTGAGGGAAGGGGAGAGGAGAGAGGGAGGGTGTGGGTGGGTGGTCCGGGCTGAGACCCCCCCTCGCTTGGACGCTGGTACCTACTCCACTGCTGTCACCTGCTCCGTGACCTTGCTTGGGCCCTGGTCGTCGCTGACTCCTTGCCGTGGCCTCGGGGTCCCATCGGCCCTCCCTCGGCCCTCGAAGCGGCCCACCACGGCCCCGACGCTGGCCGCGGCCACAGTCTCCCAGCCCAGGCCGAACCCAGAGGTCACAGCGTGGGCAGAACCAGGCTCCTCGGGTCTGCGGGGGGGGGCGGGGGGGAGAGAGAGAGAGAGAGAGAGAGAGAGAGAGAGAGAGAGCGCAGAAACTCATGGGTTTTGTATAAGAAATGATAGACCAGAAAATGGACCAGTGACGACAACAACAACAACAACTCCCCTCCCCCGGCTCCCTCCCCCCACCCACAGCCCCCGATGGGAGAGAAAGCGGGAGAGATGGAGGGAGGAGGGAGAGAGGCGAGGAGAAGCGGGGAGAGAGGCGATGGGAGGGAAAGGGGGAAGAGATGGAGGGAGGGGGGGGGAGGCTTGACAAGCCGTGGAACACGACGCCAAGCCGGGGAGGGGGTGGATGGGGTGGGGGGGAGACGACCGTAGACACGGGTCGAACAGGACGGGCCACAGACGACACAACCTGAAGATGGGGAAGGAAGGTGGGGGTGGGTGGGTGGGGGGGGCGAAGGCGAGGCGCAGGGAAGGAGAAGAGGGAGAGTCCGACAGAGAGTTTCGGGGCACGATAGGGGCAGCCGATACTGACCCCCGTTTACTCGTTTCCCCCCCACCCCCACCCCCACCAAATCGGCCGCCGGCTTTGCCCACAGAAGGCACAGTCACTGCACTTCTAGCAATGTGAGGACACACTCCCCGTTGTGAGGGAGAAGGTGTGGGACTTACAGCACCAGCAGCAGAGGGTGAGAGGTCTCACCGTGCCCCAGGGGCAGAGACAGCTTCAGCTGCAGATCTGAGCGAGAGAGGGAGGGAGAGAGAGAGAGAAAAGAGAGAGAGATAGGGAGGGAGAGAGGGAGAGAAAGAAGGAGAGAGAGAGAGAGAGGGGGGGGAAAACGCGTTATTAATGATAAGAATAATCTTATCAAAGGCACACGCCTGTTTACCAAGCGGTAAGTAGGAACCCGGTTGTTAGTTGTTTGGCAGATCACCTTCCGGGGGTAATAATTCCCTCGCCCTCCCCCGCGCTGTATCAAATGCGAGGACTATTATTATTATTATTATTATTATTATTATTATTCATTATGAGACTCATCAAAGTCGTGGCGACGTCTCGAAGCGCTCTGCAGGAGTTTTCCCAAAGCGCTGGAGGAGATCTTTACCTCTTCGACGTCCGCCTGCGGGGGTCGCGGACGGGGCTGGAGGGTTTAACGCCTCACCCGCTGCTGGACGGTGCCTCTGACGATGCGGCGGGTTCACTCCCCCGCACCACCTCCCCCACCCATACCCCCACCGTCTCTCCCCCCACCCCCCAGCGCCGCTCTGGAGAGTCAGCCCGGACGGTGAGCTGAAAATGGGGGGGGACTTAAGAGCAGCCGCTTGTGGCTGTGTGGACGTTTACTCACCATAACCGTCGACGCGCACAGTCCTGAACTCAGTCACAGGCAGTCGCCTCCTCTCTAAGGCTTCACTGAGGATATCATTCGCTTCCAGTACATAGTAATCTGTGTTAAGGTGCAAAACACAAGCTCCAGTTTAAAGTACCCCTCGAACTGCTCTCATCCCCCCCCCCCGCACCCCCCCCCACCACTCCCCCGCAACTTGTTGGTTCATCACTTGATGGGTTACGCTTGCGAACATACGCTGCAGGACCGTGGCGTCCGCGGGTTAGAGCGCTCGGCTAAAGCGAGAGGACCCGGGTCAGGGCGAAACCCTAGGCAAGTTTCTTTACCCCACGCACACGCCTGTTTACCAAGCGGTAAGTAGGAACCCGGTTGTTAGTTGTTTGGCAGATCACTTTCCGGGGGTAATAATTCCCTCGCCCTGCCCCGCGCCGTATCAAATGCGAGGACTATTATTATTATTATTATTTATTATCATTTAAGTGTCTCAAACGCTTCACGAGGTCTTGCCGCGCAGGTGTAGTAACTTGTGTCTATTTGGAGGCAACCGATTTGCACACGGCAAAGCCTCGCGCGTTCACAAGGTCAATTTTATCCTGGGGGGGGGGGCAGCACCGCGTTGATCTTTAATGTCCCCGTTCCCTCGCCCTCTCCCACCCCGCCCTACCCCTTACCCCCCCGTAGCGCTGGGCCGGAGCCTCGACTGGAACCGGGATACGCTTCCCAGCTTGGAGCACGGACAACTTACTCCTGGGATCCATGGTCTGGTGAACGGTGACTCTGGGGATTCCGGGTCCTGTGGGAATAACTCGGCATTAAGTTTAAAAGATCCTCACGCTCGTTTCCAAACCCCCTCGGACCCTGGCACCTCCCTACGTTCTCCGACCTGCTTACCCCCGCAACCCACAACCCGCTGCCTCTGCTCAACCGGCTCTGGGCTCCTGCACGTCCCTTGTGCCCGCTCCCCCCACCCCCACCCCCACCACCATCGTCGGGCGCGCTTTCAGCTGCTACGCCCCGAAACTCTGGAACTCTCTCCCTCTACCCCTCCCTCTGCCTTGCCCCCCCCCCCCCACTTCCTTCCCCGTCTTCAGTTCGAGACCTACCTATTCGACCTACAGTGCCTACGGTCGCCTCTGCCCTCCCTCTCCCACCGGCTCGGTGTCCTGCTCCGCCACCGTCAGGCGCTCTGGGGCGCTATCCTGCGTGAGGGGGAGGGGCTGCCGTGTAAATCAGCGCAAGTTGTTGTTGTTGCTTCATTTCGCCCCCCCCCACACACTCCAGGCGAGCGACACACGCGGAAACCCGTCACTGACCGGACTCCAAGCCCTCACCCGAGGCCGTACACAGCCGGACTGACCTTTACAGTGAAGGGCGAAATGTGCGCGGTTTGGGCTGAATCCGGCCGCGAAGTGGCTGCAGTCGGCGAGCAGGTCGCAGGTCACACAGCTTCGCTGGAACGAGCCCGTGGTGTCTGCGCTGCGGGGAGCAGACATCAGCACACGCTAAGCCCCCAAGGCTGACGTGTGCCGGGTGTCTCTCACCCACTCACGCACGCGCACCACACACACGCAACCAAACTCAACACACACACAGACACTACACACGCACTAACTACACACACACTACACACCACACACACACACGCGCGCACGAGTGCGCGTCAGTCAGTTGTACACGGCCGGGGGCTCAGGTTTCCTGACACGGCTCAGCTCGGCGCCGGGGGACACGGCTCCTGTTCTGGTCAGCGCTCTCACCTGTACAGGTGTGTTGATCTGGCGGAGGCTTCTGTGCTCTGGAAATAACTGTGGAGCAGAGTAACAATGATAACAATTCCTGCATTTGACTTCGCGCCTCATCACGTCATCGAGACGTCTCCAAGCGCTTCACGGGACATACTGGAAAGTCCCGTAGTTTAGTGGATAGCGCTGAGAGGACCCGGGTTCGATTCCCAGACAGGGCGAAACCGTAGGCAAGTTTCCTTACTCCACACACACGCTTCTGTTTACACAGCAGTAAGTAGGAACCAGATTCTTAGTCGATTGGGGCATCATTTTCTGTTGGGGGGTTAGTAATCCTTTCAAAAAAAATGATTATACATATAATAATGCGGTCACTCAATCCACGACTGTTTGCGAGACGCTGCTGTGCGCAATTAGCTGCCGAGTTTCGGCCACGAAATACACAGTCGATTTACTTCACGGTATAATGTCTGAATGACGTGATAAGTCGCTATATCACATGCAAGGATTATTGTTGTTATTATTATTATTAAAGTGTAATGACTGTGCATTTTGCGGATGAACGCGGCAGCCAATTTGCGCACAGCAACGTCCCGCAAACAGCCGTGATGTGAGTGAGCGATTTTATGTGGGATTGTTGGCCAGGACACCGGGAGAAAGAAACTCCCTTCTCTTTTCCCAACAGCGAGAGAGAGAGAGCTTTGATGTCCGTCCATCCTGAATAGGCACAGATGGGGAGTGAGTTTTAGGGTCTCAGCCGAAGGTCTCGAAGCAGAAAGCTTTGCAGAGAGAGAAGAGGGAGGAAAGGAGGGAGAGAGAGAGAAGGAGGAAGGGAGGGAGAGAGAGAGAGAGAGAGAATAGGAGAAGAGATTTACATTTGTTTGGTTCCGTCATGGTAAGCGTTCAGGCTGGTCACATCCCAGTCTCCAGATGTGATGAAACGTCCAGTGTCGGGGGAAGCGGTGGCCTGTACAGAGAGAGGGAAGGAGAGGGAGAAGGAGAGAGAGAGAGAGAGAGAGGGAGTGAGAGAAAGAGAGAGGGAGGGAGAGAGAGATCATGATGGAGAAAGGGAGAGTGAGACATGCAGGAGTGAGAGAGGGAAACACTGAGGGGAAGAGAGTGAAGAAGAGCGTGATGGAGAATGCGAGGGAGGGAGAGAGATGGAGTGCGAGAGGGAAAGAGACAGAGGGGGGGGAGTGAGTGGAGTGAGGTGGGGGAGATTACCTGAGGTACAAACATGACCACATGCTGGAAGTCTCGCTGGTTGCCCTGTTTAGTGGGAGTGATCAGGAACAGAGTCTCTCCATCAGCGGACAGCACTGGAGGCTGCTCCTGGCAACAAAGATGTAATGAGAGAGAGATTGAGAGAGTGTCAGAGAGAGAGAGAGAGAGAGAAAGGGAGAGAGTCAGGGAATCAGAGAGAGATATAGAGAGGTTTAGAGGCAGACAGAGATCAAGAGACAGACAGACAGTACCTGTTGGGTAAGCCAGGTGTCTGATGAGCTCCTGTGTTTCTGAAAGACAAGGACACACACATCACAATAACCTGGGGATCAGGAATTGAATTACAGGCTGGAGTCTAACGCAGGGTTTATACCACCACAACAACAACTTGCACTTATATCGCGCCTTTCACGCGGTGGGGGGGGGGGTGCAGAGTCCCGGAGCGTTAGACGGGAAAGCCGGGGATCGAACCTGACGCCTAAGTTGGCGCCCGGGTTCGGTGAGTCTGAGGGAGAGCCCGGGGAGGTCGAGCGAGGATTTCAGACCCGCAGGGGAGAAGACGTTGATGGATCCAGAATAAGACCCCCCCCCACCCGCCGGAGACGAGTTACGCTCGACACTGACCTGCACGCAGGCTCCATTCGTGGCATCGCAGAAGGTGAGGATGGAAAAGTTCTGAGCTCTGTTTAACCATCGCACTGCCACGCAGGTATTGGTCACCCACGCCACCATGGTGATGTAATATTCCCTGGGCAGGACAAGGCAGCGGCGTTACGGGATCACCCTCCGTGCGGATCGGATCGAAGCCCAGTGTGGGGCCATCTCGAGGTGCAAACTGATCTGTCTGTGTTGAGTCCTGGAGCTCAGTGGTTAGAGCCCTCGCCTCGCAAGCGAGAGGACCTGGGTTCGATTCCCGGGCGGGTCAAGTCAGGGCGAAACTTTGAGCGAGTTTCCTTACCCCACACACGCGCACACACACGCACATACACACACGTACGTCTCTGTTTATCAGCAGTAAGTAGGAACCTGGTTGTTAGTCTATTGGCGGATTGCTTTCCGGGGGTAATAATCCCTTCAAAAATAAATAGATAATAATTTGATCACTCAATCCATGACTGGTTTTTGGGGACACTGCTGTGCGCAACTGGCTGTCACTACACTTTACAGTGTATCTTGTGAAGCGCTTTCAGATGTCTCGGAGACGCGATAAGAGAGGAATATGACTGTTCTCCACAGGGAATCTCTTGTACGTCACTCTCACGTCACTCCCGCTCACACAAGCATTCTGGAAATCTCCAGGAAGTCGCTGCCCCCACGAGGGACGTACCTGGCCCCGAAGCTCTCCACAGGGATCAGCTGGAGGGTGTGAGCGAACCCAGAGAGATTAACCACAAACAGCCTCACTGTCGGGATACTCTGTCCAGCCTGAAATAGCAACCGAGTCACAATTAGCTCCCCAACCTATGGGGGCGGGGGGGGGGTGTGTGGGTAACACAGTACACAGTGCCCGAGAACGGAGGGAGATGAGGACAAGGTGGGGGGGGGGGGGGGTAGGGCAGGGGTGGCAGAGTTCATAGGAAACATAATATAGGAAACACAGGAACAGGAGGAGGCCATTCAGCCCCTTGAGCCTGTTCCACCATTTTATCAGAGAGAGAAGATAATCTGTAACCCAATGTCCAAAACTCACTCACTCACTCACTCACTCAATCAATCAATCAATCAAGTTCAGCCAACGAGACCCCCCCCCCCCAAACACACACTTGGTGAGAGGGAAGGACTACCATGACCATTGACCGTGTGCTGTTCTCGTTGTTCCTGGCCTACCTTGGGGTACGGGTAGACTTTGCCAATGGGGTACAAGGTGCCCAGAAACTGGGGGATCTCCATGTTGGGCACCGAGGAGTCGTTGATGACGGTGTACGCCAGGCGAGCACCATCAGGAGACCACCAGTGGGCGACAGAGGATCTGAGCAGCTCCTCTAGGGGAGAGAAGACAATCTGTAACCCAATGTCCAACACCAACAACAACCTCCAACCTCAACACCAACATCCGGGTGCCTGACACACGCGGAAACCCATCACCGTTGCTTAAGAGTCTCCAAACCAAGCTGAGAATTCCATGCATCCCACTTACACATGGAAATCCCTCGAGATAGATTGTTGGAATGGAATGCGCTCTCTCTCTCTCCCCCCCCACTCTTTCCAGAGAAACACATTCCTGCTTACCTAATTCCGGAGGGTATTAGGCACAGGTTGGCTAGAGCCAAGCCTCGGGGAGCCCAGTGTGTGCATTGGGGTAACAGCAGGAGTCTGACCAGTTAAAACCACAGAGCTTGCCATTGATTGCCCATCATCCAACACCCATTGCCCAATAGCATTTTATTTTCCAATCCCCCAGGGACAGGGAATAGCTGGTGCTGGACACAGATTGACTCAGTTTGATTGACTGAGAACCTCAGCCGGTTGCAGAGTCACTTCGCTCCTCCCTGCGCCGGGAATCCTTACCTTCGTAAACCCAGTCGGCAATGCCGTTGAAGATGACTCCATCCTTGCCGGAGGAGGTGAGGGCCCGAGCTGGGCTGTGTGCCGTCTGCTGGTAGTAGATATTATTCTCCAAGATGTAGACCTGAGGAAGATCAGGCAGATGGGTCAGATTGGCTAACAAAGGCAGATTGGGTGGATAAGAACATAGAAAGTAGACCAAGGTCCATCCAATTCGCCTTCCACCATCCACCTGGGAGTCGCTTGACATGTTGTGTCCCAAACTGTATCCTGTACCCCGAGATATTATTTCCCAACAGAAATCTATCTAATTTGATCTTGGAAGAATCAACACTTCCTGCTTCCACCGTCTCCCTATAGGGAGCCCGTTCCCGAGGGATTTGGGAATGACAACAACTTGTACTCTATAGCACCCTTCACGCCTCAGAGCGCTTGAACTTCTTTCATCCACACCTTCTGATCAATGGTAATATCAGCAGAGCCTCGCAATTCCCCCCAGTCTCAGTCTGTCGCCCTATTTTTGCCTTGAAATTTAAGGTGGCGCCAAACTGCGTTAAAAATTCTTCAACTCGACCTTTAAGACACTGCTTCCAAATCAACCCCCGACTGAAAAATCTTTGCGCAATTCCGCCTTAAATTTGGATCAACAACAAGAACAACTTGCATTTAAAGAGCGCCTTCACCCGGGGAATCAAGATGGTCTGTAGGCCGAGACCGGGGGGGGAATTTGGGATCTGGTTGGCAGTAGAGCTCAGAGTTAGGAGCTGCACAAATCAGCTGAAGTTTATAATCATTAAGTTGATGTATTAGAATATTGACAAGCGAAGGGAAAGTGGCCAGAGGCCACTGTAACTACCTGTAACCGACGTTTGATTTCTATCTGGTTCCTACCTCCTTGCAAATAGAGAGTAAATAATTGACGTTTTGGTTATTGATAGATTTTGTCATTACCGCCGTCCACAGACAACACAGTCCAGCTCAGAGTGTGACAGCGCAGCCCTGATTCAGCACACACTCAGGCATGGAGACACACACGCTCACACACACACGCACGTGTTACTCACTCCATGTCTCTGTGTGTCTCACTCCGTGTCTCTGTGTGTGTCTCACTCCCATATGTGTGTGTGTGTGTGTGTGTGTGTCAGTCCTTGTCCACATGTGTTAGTCACTCTATGTCTAAGCGTGAGTCTCACTCCCGCGTATTTGTTTGTGACTCACCCTCGTGTGATCCTCTCGCTCTGTCTCTCAGTGAGTCCTTACAAGAACAACAACAACAACTTGCACGTATATAGCGCCCAAAGGTAGTGTCCCAAAGCGCTTACCAGCTGGTTGCCGCTGGCTCCCCAGGCAGCGTACTGCAGCACTGAGCCCTGCAGCCCCTCACCTCTCAGCTCAGTCACTTCCCTGCAACCATGGAAGCAAATCAGATTAACAGTCAGGAGGGGGCAATTCGGGGCTAAAACCTGACATTTCTAACCGGGATTCCTTAACAAATAACATTAATAATAGTCCTTGCATTTGATATAGCGCCTTCTCACGTCATTGGGACATCTCAAAGTGCTTCGCAGAATATATTGTAAAGTGTAGTGACTGTGTGTTTTAGCTGCTGTTGAGACCTTACCTGGTCTGTATGTTGTAGATGGCGTAGGAGGCTGTGAAGGAGTAAAGATACACCTGGAGAACAGGGCAGGAGAGAGATCACGGGTTAAAGTCAGGCCGTTCGCAGAAATGCCCTCCAGAATCCCATCCCTCCCGAAGCATCTCATTGCACAGAGTATCCTCACTACCCAATGGCAGGAACGAGCCATCAGGAAGGGAAGCACAGGGACAGAAGCAGGCCATTCAGCCTATCAAGCCTGTTCCACGTCAAGTTTTATTCGACAACGCCAGAGCTTCCAATACCAATTCCTCACGTTTTCTCCCTAATACCACAATTCCTTGCACTTCCCAAGAACCCAACAACAACAACTTGCATTTACATAGCGCCCATCACTCAGGATAGTGTCCCAAAGGGCTTTAATCCCAATCCATTTTGTCTGGCCTCGCTACTCCACGTGAAGGGCGCTATATAAATGTTGTTGTTGTTGTTGTTGACATCTCCGGACTGTCCATGTCTTTACCTGTTGGATGTTGTAAATCAGAAGCACGGAGCTCAGGTCAGGGGACACCCGGTACCTTGTTGCTTTCAGAGAGAGCTGGTGGAGCAAGGAGAAGGCAGTGCTTAGAGAGCGATGAATCCTAATTTTATTAACAACAATAATCCTTGTATTTGATATAGCGCCTTATCACGTACGTTGAGACGTCTCAAAGCGCTTCACAGGATATGCTGTAAAGTGAATTGACTGTATATTTTGGGGACGAAACAGTCATGGATTGAGTGACCGAATTATTATTTTTTTTTGGAGGGATTATTGCCCCCGGAACGTTATCCGCCAATCGACTAACATCCTGCTAGGTAAACAGAGGCGTGTAGTGGCACATTCTTTCCAAAGGTAAATTGTATAGTATTATATATTCAAAGTCTGTGGCTTCAAATCAAATTTGGAGACAATGTCCTTTTTCATTTTGAAGGATTTGCCTCGCAAAATTGGAGCACAATTCTTCAGAAGAGACATTTAAATCGAGCTCCCCATCGGGGCTATTATATAACAACAATAATAATAATAATCCTTGCATTTGATGTAATGCCTTATCATGTCTTCTAGACGTCTCAAAGCGCTTCACAGAATATACTGTAAAGTGAATCGACTGTGTATTTTGTGGGCGAAACTTGGCAGCCAATTGCACACAGCAGTGTCCTACAAACAGTTGTGGATTGAAGTGACCAAATTATTATTGTTCTTATTCTTTGAAGGGATTATTACCCCCAGAAAAACGATCCGTCAGTCGACTAACAACCAGGTTCCTACTTACCGCTATGTAAATAGAGGCAATGTGGCGTAAAGAAACTTGCCCAATATTTCGCCCTGCCCAGGAATCAAACCCAGGTCCTCTCGCTTGCAAAGTGAGTGCTCTAACCACTGAGCTACAGGACTCCACATTGGGGAAGAGAAAAGAGTTTCTCTCTCCCAGTGTCCTGACGATCACCCAAATAAAATTGGTCATTCGCTCCACGGGGCTATTTGTGGGATGTTGACTGTCATGTTCATCTCCAAAATACGCAGTCACTCCACTGCACAGTAAATTCTGTGAAGCGCTTTGAGACATTCTTCCGATGTGAAAGGCGCCTTATCAAATGCAGAGGTTATTTATTCATTTGCAAACGTGTCAAGGGGTTACTTTAAAGAGTAGTGACCACCGTGGGGGCAAAACGAGAGAGCAAGAAGAGGTAGAGGATATCACCCGGGGACACAGGAGAAACTCTGCCTCTTTTAATGTCTCATCTGAAGGACGTCTCACCTCCGGTAACTCAGGGCTACGGAGGAGGGTGTGCGAGGGTTTCCGTGACAAGGGAGAGGCAATTTGATGAGGATTTATTGATCACTGTAAAATGTGTATCAGAAGCTGCCGCTCACAAACGTGCTGTTCCCCACCAAGGTCACCGTCTCCTGCGTCTCCACGTCCTGTTTGATCACGTGTCCTTCCCTCGTCCGAAACACCACGTGGCGGTCTGGAAGAGACACACGGCGACCGGTCACCAGTCACAACTTGTCGTTACGCAGCGCCTGTCACTTCCTGTTACTTCCTGTGACGCCTGTGGCTTCCTGTGACGCCTGTCGCTTCCTGCGAGATCTGTCATGTCTTGTCACCTCCAGCGCTCCCGGGTCAGCCATGATGACAGAGTGAAGACAGCGTTTAAGGCGACCTCCATCTCTGTTACACTTGGGGGCCTCTGTGAATTACGGAGTATTTTTGCGGCAATGACTCACCACTGACCCACTGAACGTCTGGCTGGTGTGTCTGGAATTCCTCCCGCTTGATATCGTCCAGAGAGAGTGGGACTGTGATCTTCCGGGTCAACACATCTGCAGGACAACAGAACGGGGCAGACGCTGAGGATCTAACTCGAGCCAGCCCTCTACAGCGGTCTCTAGTCTGGTTCCTGAGCCAGGAGGGTCTGCAGTGTTCCAGGGCACCTCTGATGACCTTCAAAAATCACTGGTTAGACCTCAGCGAGAGACTGTGTTCAGTTCTGGACCCCGCACCTTAGGAAGGATGTCAAGGCATTGGAGCGGGTGCAAAGGTGATTGACCAGATTGGTACCAGGAATGAGGAGAGTTATCAGGAGAGGCGAGAGAAGCGAGGATTATTCTCCGAGGAGCAGAGAAGGTTCAGAGGAGACTTAATAGAAGTTTTCAAAATTATGAGGGGATTCGATAAGGAGAAACTATTTCCACTGGTGGGCGGGTGGGTCGGTAACCCGAGGACACCGATTTAAAAGAGTTTTTAAAAGAAACAGAGAAATTTTTTTGGAATCTGGAATGCATTAACTGAAAGGTGGATAACAGTTTTTAAGAGAGAAGTAGATAATTATTTGGGGAGGACAAGTTTGCAGGGCTATGGGGAGAGGGCGGGGGAGTGGGATTGAATTTGATAGCTCTTCTCAAAGAGCCGGCACAGACATGATGGGCCGAATGGCCTCCTTCTGTGCTGTATAATTCTATGATTCTATGACAGCACAGCCCAGCCTGGCTCACTGGCAGGACCTGGAAGGGCAGACCAGTCACTGGGGCAGGGAGTCATCCCACTCAGCTCCTGTTAACCTTGCAAGTCAAAGCCCTAATGGGTAAGGTGGACAATCAGCAGGAAAGCTTGGCAGACTGCGCTATTCTGTAATACGCTGAGACATGCACCACTAACCCCCCCCCCCCCATCACCAGGAATGTAATAATTCAACTCAGGAAAGGGATCGGCAACGTTCCGGCTTCCCTACCCGGAGTCAGGATGACGATGGACAAGACGACCAGGGAGAAAATCAGGCTGATCACCAGCAAGGCCAGGCCAATCCCCTTCCAGTTCAGGGGCTCAGCCGTCGACCCACTCCGATCCTGGGCAAAAGAGAATCAAGTTTAATATCATCCAGGTCCGTGATCAGATGGGGAGAGGCAGTGGTGGAGCCGGGCAATGTTGTGGAGGTGGGGGAAGGATGAACTGGTCATGGCACGGATGTGGGGTATAAAGGACAGTTGAGGGTCAAACAAGACACCAAAAAAGTCTCTCTACTCTGTCTGTTCATGCTCCAAGGTTGGCCACAACATGGATTAGAGATGTAATAAAGCTCCCTCTACAAGGTCCATTCACACTCCCAGGTCAGGGTTAGAGACACACCAAAGATCTCTCTATGCTGTCCGTCCAGCAGCAACAACAGCAACAATTTGCATTTCTATAGCGTCTCTCACAAAGGGTAGTGTCTCAGAGCACTCCCAAGGAAGAGAAAACATAGGCTAAAGATAGAGTAAAGCTCTACAAGGTCCATCCACACTCCCAGGTCAGCGACGGAACAGGTTAGAGGCAGAGTAATGCTCTCTCTACACTGTCCGAGCACACTCCCAGGTCAGGGTTAGAGACACAGTAAAGCTCCTTCTGCACTGTCTGTCCGTACTCCCAGGTTAGGGTTAGAGACACAGTAAAGCTCCCTCTACACTGTGAGTCCACATTCCCAGGTCAGTGACAGCACTGATCAGAGCCGGAATGAAGTTCTGGTGACTTATCTGACAATTGGCAAGTCATATTTGCCAATTCAGTTGGCTTGAGGAAAATGGAGCACATCACATTGATTGTGGTCGGAAATAAAGTGCAAGAGGCTTTTAAATTAATTGTGTTAAATCATCTCTCATCTCTCAGGAGTAATGTGACAGTTATGGCTGGGAGGCATTGAAATAATGTATTGCTTTACTGAAAGTACCTAAGACAAATCGCGCTCTATGCAGAGCGAGCGAGTTGCTGAGTCAAGTCGCACAGGGAAGCACTGAGAATAATAATCCTTGCATTTGACACACCATCACAATAGTTAGTGATTCACAGGGAATAATAATAATCCACACTCCCAGCTCAGGGTTAGAGACACAGTAAAGCTTCCTCTATACCGTCCATCCACACTGCCAGGTCAGGGTTGGAATAAAATAATCATAATAATATGGTCACTCAATCCCCCCCCCTCCTCGCTCCCTCCTTTCCCTCCCCTCATCCTGACCATTTCCCCCCCCCCTCCTCACTCCCTCCCTTCCCTCCCCTCCCCCTGACCATTTCCCCCCCCTCCTCACTCTCCTTCCCTCCCCTCAACTGACCATTTCCCCCCCCTCCTCACCCTCCCTTCCCTCCCCTCAACTGACCATTTTTCCCCCCTCATCGGGTCCTGACCCAACTGTCCAGCGCTTTGGGACGTCCTCCCGACGTGAAAGGCGCTCTCTAAATGGAATCTTGTTGTTGTTGTTGTTGTTGATCAGGAAATACGCTGTTTATCAAGGTTTATGTCTCCCCCACTCCCTGCCACCCGACCTCCTCACTGTCCGTCCATCTCCAACACGACGGGTATAAATGCTCTGAGACGTTCTGACGACGTGATAAGGCGCTGTATCAAATGCAAACGCTGTATTATTGTTGTTATATATTACTCAGGTGCCTCTGGTCTCCTGGGAACTTTGCCCAGAGAAATAAAATGAAGATTCTTTTCCCTCATAAAATTTAAATTACGCGTTCAGAGGCCCGCGTGGGGAGAAGGGGAAAGAAAAAGACTGGGAGAGTTCGGCAAAAAAACAGGTCGACTTGGACTTACCGGATCACGGCTGACGTTAAACTGTGTTGCTATCATTCTGATCGGTGAATTTTCTACGGTAGAAAATTTAGGATGTTCCAGGGAGTTGGCGAGAATGTGCTTCCAGTCTTATCGGCAGGTTAGGAGTAGATCTCTCTCTCCCTCGCTCACTCCCTCTTTCGCTCTTGCACTCTCTCTCTCTCCACCGGCGCTCAATAATATATTGACGGCAGAGAATTAATCAACATGGCATAACTTTAATCTCAGCATTATTGGACTCTTGCCTTGAGCGAGTGCCCAGCACCCCAGGGTCTGCGTTGTGTTACTCACAGGCATGAATCATTCGCAGAAACCAGCTTCAATTCCCATTGGAAATCGGAAAGTGTCTCTGTACTGCAGGGAGGAGACCGGATCGAAGCACACAAATCTTTTGTGGTGTAAAATAAATAATCCCGGTGACCGGGGCAGCTCCTCGAGCATCAAAATGTCTCAAAGTGCTTTTGCGGGGAATTGCTGTCACGTGTAGTGACTGTGTGTTCGGTAGGCGGACGCGGCAGGCAATTTTGCACACGGCGACGTCCCACAAACAGACATGAAGTGAACGAGCAATTTTATCAGGGAGATTTCTGGCCAAGGCAGCAGCAGGAGAGAAGCTCTCTTCTCTTAATTTGGAAGGGGGGGGGTTTCTTTGTAAGAACAGCGTAAAAGGGGCTTCCAAATAATAATAAATAATAATAATCCTTGCATTTGATGTAGCGCCTTATCACGTCTTCGAGATCGAGGCTGAATTTAAGAATTTTCCACGAATTGTCCTCACAGACTGTGGTGTCCTTAACGTGAAAGGCATCTAAATGTAAATTGTTGTCATTGTTGGTGAGACGGAGGGGGGAAGGGGGAAGGGGGGAAGTGGGGGGTGTGAAAGAGAGCTGGGATAATTTTACCCCTCCTCACCTCAGCCTTTATCAGAGTCAATCTCCACCAGCGCTACGAGGCGGCGTATAAGCGCAAGTTATTGCACTTTCTGCCCGTTAACGACGACAACAACTTGCGTCTATATAGCGTTCTTCACGCTGGACGGTGTTTCGGAGCGCTTAGCAGTGGCGGAGGGAGGGAGCGAAGGGGGCTGCTTACCTACCTGGAGTCTCGTGGCCATATTCGGTGACACCCAAGGCAACGCAGACGTCTGCAGAGTGCTACGCTGGAACCGTTGAACAGGGAGAAGGGCTGAGTGAATGGCTTTGACAGGTTCAGGCGCTTACCGTGTGCGAAGGGGTGGAATAGTCCGCGCCTTCTTCACTTCCCGGCTGGGCTATTCCAATGCCCTCCTCGCTGGTCTCCCCAGCTCCACCGTACACAACGTTCAACTAACTAATTTGCCCCGGATACTCACCCACACAAAACTCCGCACCCCCATCACACCAGCCCTCGCCAGGCTCCACTGGCTCCCAGTTGCTGAACGGATCGATTTCAGGATCCTTTCTCTCGTCTTCAAATCTCCTCGTGCCCTCGCACCTCCCTACCTGGCCGATCTGCTTACAGAAATAGCCCTGGTCAAAGTGACAAATGTCATTCTGTCCATCTGCGACCAGGGCTCCCTCTGCCTCCTCGTCCTGCTTGACCTCTCTGCTGCCTTCGACACCGTTGACCACTCACCCACCCCCCCCTCCTCTCAACTCAACCTTCACGGCTCTGGCCTTGACCAGTTCAGATCGTACCTCTCATACCGCCTCCACCTCATCTTCACAAACAGCTTCCCCTCTAGTCCCGGACCATCTCATGCGGCGTTCCTCAGGGCTCTGTCCTTGGTCCCCTCCTCTTCAATGTCTGTGTGCTCCCTCTTGGTGATATCATCTGCAGACATGGGGTCAACTTCTACATGTATGTGGATGACACCCAACTCTACCTCTCTGCCTCCACCCTTGTTTCCAGGACTCCTGCTGCCCTGTCAGAATGTCTGTCAGACATCAAGTCCTAGATGAGAGCTAATTTTCTTCAGTTGAACGTCAACAAGACCAAGGCTCGCCTCAGCCGCTGACAACGTCACCATCCATGGTTACACACTCCACCTTGCTAAGCAGTCCGAAACCTTGGCCAGTCCGGAACCTTGGGGTCTTGTTTGACCCTCAACTATCCTTTCTACCCCACATCTGCGCCATGACCCCCTCTGCCTTCCCCCACCTCCGCAACATCGCCCGGCTCTGCCACTGTCTCACACCGCAGGTCGCCAAAACCCTCATATATGCTTCCATTATATCGAGGCTTGACTATGCAAACTCTTTGCTTGTCGGCCTCCCCAACTCCTCCCTCCACAGGTTGCAGATCATCCAGAACTCTGCAGCCCGTGTCCTCTCCCGCACCGGGCTCCCTGACCCTATCAACCACATCCTCGCCCAACTCCACTGACTTACAATCACACAGAGGATACAGTTCAAGATCCTGATGCTCATCTTCAAAGCCATCCATGGTCTTGCTCTCCCTCTACCTTTGCGACCTCCTAACTCCCTCCATCCTGCACTCTCCCTCCGCTCAGTGGTTGTTGTGTTGAGGTGTTGTTGTGTTGAGGCGTTGTTGTTGTTGTGTTGAGGTGTGGTTGTTGTTGTTGAGGTGTTGTTGTTGTGTTGAGTTGTTGTTGTGTTGAGGTGTTGTTGTTGTTGTTGTGTTGAGGTGTTGTTGTTGTGTTGAGGTGTTGTTGTTGTGTTGAGGTGGTGTTGTTGTTGTTGTGTTGAGGTGGTGTTGTTGTTGTGTTGAGGTGGTGATGTTGTTGTTGTGTTGAGGTGTTGTTGTTGTTGTTGTGTTGAGGTGGTGTTGTTGTTGTTGAGGTGTTGTTGTTGTGTTGAGGTGTTGTTGTGTTGAGGTGGTGTTGTTGTTGTTGAGGTGTTGTTGTTGTTGAGGTGTTGTTGTTGTGTTGAGGTGGTGTTGTTGTTGTTGAGGTGGTGTTGTTGTTGAGGTGTTGTTGTTGTGTTGAGGTGTTGTTGTTGTTGTTGAGGTGTTGTTGTTGTTGTGTTGAGGTGTTGTTGTTGTTGTTGTTGTGTTGAGGTGTTGTTGTTGTTGTTGTTGTGTTGAGGTGGTGTTGTTGTTGTGTTGAGGTGGTGTTGTTGTTGTTGTGTTGAGGTGGTGTTGTTGTTGTTGTGTTGAGGTGGTGTTGTTGTTGTTGTGTTGAGGTGGTGTTGTTGTTGTTGTGTTGAGGTGTTGTTGTGGTTGTTGAGGTGTTGTTGTTGTTGTGTTGAGGTGGTGTTGTTGTTGTTGTGTTGAGGTGGTGTTGTTGTGTTGAGGTGTTGTTGTTGTTGTTGAGGTGTTGTTGTTGTTGTGTTGAGGTGGTGTTGTTGTTGTTGTGTTGAGGTGGTGTTGTTGTTGTGTTGAGGTGGTGTTGTTGTTGTTGTGTTGAGGTGTTGTTGTTGTTGTTGAGGTGTTGTTGTTGTTGTGTTGAGGTGTTGTTGTTGTTGTTGTTGTTGTTGTGTTGAGGTGGTGTTGTTGTTGTTGAGGTGTTGTTGTTGTGTTGAGGTGGTGTTGTTGTTGTGTTGAGGTGTTGTTGTTGTTGAGGTGTTGTTGTTGTGTTGAGGTGTTGTTGTTGTGTTGAGGTGTTGTTGTTGTTGTTGTGTTGAGGTGGTGGTGTTGTTGTTGTGTTGAGGTGGTGTTGTTGTTGTTGTGTTGAGGTGGTGGTGTTGTTGTTGTGTTGAGGTGGTGTTGTTGTTGTTGCTGCGCACCCGCCCAACACCGCACCCGCGCTGAGCCAAGTTGCGTCAGGGCGAGGCAACGAGACGTGATGACGCAAGCGAGGACGTCGCGACGACGGCGGAGGGGGCGGGCGAGAGAGAGAGAGAGAGAGAGCGCGCGCGCGCGCGCGTGAGTGTGCGGCGTCAAGGGTGGTGGGGGGGGGGAGCCGACGCGCTGACGTGAGGCGACGCGCTGACGTCAGGTCCGTGACGCCATCGCGCCGGAGGGAGCGGCACAGATCCTTCCAGAGCGACGACGGGCGGCAGGTAAAGAAAATGGCTCCGTCGCTTCCTCTCCCCCCACTCCCCCCCTCCGCGCCGCGGCCTCACGCTTCGGGGTTCGTTTTACACACCACACGCACTCTCTCCCCCACCCCCCCCCCTCCCCTCACCTCCCGGCCCGAGTTGGCGGCCGGGCTCGCGCGGCGCGGATTACGCGAGCTTCAGGCTTCGGTGTCGTCTCTAGGCCCGGCCCCCCCCCCCCCCCCCCCCCCACACCCCCCCCCCCCCACACACACCCCCACCCCCTCCTCTTGCTCAGGCCACCACTCGCCCACCTCATACGGGGAAGGGGCTATGAGCTCACGGTCCAGGCTGATGCTCCAGTGCAGTGCTGGGGGGGTGGGGGTGGGGTTGGTGGATAAAGCAAGCGCTGTATGTTCTTTTTTTTACACACACACACACACACACAAGCGCCCTGGGACGCCACCTCTTGAGGGAGAGGCACTGTATAAATGCAAGTTGTTAATTGTTGTGGTGGTGGTAGTGGTGGTGGTTGTTGTTTCCGAAGCGCGGTCCCTTTCGGGTGAGCCTTGGGATGTCCCCTCCTCCTCCTGACGCGAAAGACGCCATGCAAATGTAATCTTGTTGTTAAAGCTGAGCTATTCCCCCCCCCCCCACCACGCACACACACTCTCACACTCCGCCGTCGTCTGTCCGTCCCCTGTTCAGAAATGTCAAAGGTTTGTCTGGTCTCCCCCCACCCCACCACCCACCCCCGGGGCGCTGTCAGGGGGGAAATTAAAAAAAAGACTAGGGATGAGAATTCCTGGCTGGGCTGACGCTCACCTCCTCCCCCAGATAACATCTCCCATTCACTTCAGCAACCGTATGTGTGTGTATATATATATATGTGTGTATGCAGGTCATCACTCTGGGCAAACTGCGTTCACCTGCAAATTACACACTCCTTCCCCTTGACAGCAATTTTCCCTGTGAAGAGCTTTGAGGGCGTTTGATGTTATAGGTGTTTATGAAAATGTAAGCTCTTCTATGCGTGTGTTTGCGTGTGCACCTTACCTCCCCTACAGGCTGTGGTGTGAGCCCTTTATCACCTGTTATCTTTTAGGTAACTGCTGGCTGCTTTGTATATCCTGCGTATAAATGGAGATCTGAGCTCAGTAGATCAATTCACTCCCTGTTGTGGCACTCACCCATAGACCAAGATGCCCAGGTTTGATCTCTGCTTAGTGCTTAGGTGTTGTCACACTGGGTGCTGGTAAAGGTGCTGTAATTTGAAAAAAGAATAGAATATCGTTTGTGTGTCTCCTGTTGTCATCCACCAAAATAATTGATGAGTCATGTCACTTTTCTGGGACCTTGTTTTGTCCGACTTGACTTCTGTTTACCTCCGCAAACGTTCACGGTGTTTGACAGTAATCACTTGTTATGTGCTTTTATTCATTTTGACCATATATGCTATAAAATGCTTTATAAAATGCTTTAAAAATTGCAATATCTTGCAGCTGTGTTGTACTCTCCAGTACTAGGACACAACGGCTGTTAATGAATCTGTGTGTCTGCTTTGTTTACATTTTGGAACAGTCTGTCTTCAAGAGTTCATTTTCATTTGAAAATGTGTTTGCATGGATGGCAGTAAAAGCAAATGGAGGTGTTTGCATGTCATAAAAGTGAACTGTGACTTTGAATGGAAGGTTGTAAAGTGTACAGTTGTGAGGTGCGCGTCTGATTGAGCATTCCCTAAAATAAGTTTGTTAAGAGGCATCACTGACCCCCCGCCCCCGAAGCAAATGCTAGTGTTGTAGTGCATAGGTGCTGTCACAAGTTTTGTTCAAACCTGGTTATTTCCGCAAGTTAGTTGCCTAAAAACTCTCTGTGACAGTGACTGTGTGTTTGTTTTTACTTTAATTGAGAAACCACAAGGTGAAGGTCCACTATGCCGGGAACTGTCAAGGTTGTAGGGTGATAAATACAGTATCGGTGGTTAGGTTAGCGAGATTGAGTTATAAAAAAANCTGTAGGAGGAAGGGAACCAAGAGTATTTTGTTGCACTGTTTTGCTGAATTTATTGGGTTTGTTTGAATATTTTTTTGCTACACAATTGTGTGATATATTGACCTACGCTTTACAGTTACACTTTACAGAAACATTTTGTTGACTTGTTAATTATTAAAGGCAATGACCACTGCCTGTTATATTTAGTCTTTCTAAAGTAAGCTTAAAAAATATTCTAGAATTTTATTTGAGCTAATTTTGTGATCAGCTGTTACTTAATAGGAAGAGTATTGGAGCGAATTATTATATAATAAATGTTGCAGAGAGGTGGGTGGCTGCATGTTTCTTAGTGACTGTCCAGCGCCTTGGGAAACGTCCTCCTGACGCGAAAGGCCCTATACAAATGTAATTTGTTGTTGTCATGGTTTTGTGATTGAAACCGCTACTCGGTCACAGTCTGAGAACGAGACATTTTGTGAGAAATAAAAGCACGAGTTGCCGAGAACGCTCGGCGGGGTCGGGCAGCATCCTTGGCGAGAGTTAGAAAGCGAGTGAGTGTTTCAGGTCGCTAACCTTTCGCCAGTTTGGCAGTACTTTGCCTTGCGTTTTGCGTTAGAACTGGTTTGAGGTTAAAATTCCAGTGCAGTGACCTCATGAATGGGACAATGGTGCGTGTCTGGTCCTTCCCATTGCTGATGTCATGTTGCTATCAGGGTGGGTGGGTTGGTGGGGGTGGGTATAAATCAGCATTATCCCAGCCAAATCATCTATTTACAGCTTAATCCTCTTGAGTTTTCGGATAATGCCATTGTAAGTCCAGCGCGCCCAGGCTCTGATTGAAATGTCAGCTGTTTAATTTAAAAATGTCGCCTTTTTCTATTTTTTTTTTAAAAAAAGCTGTTTCAAATGGTTTTGAGCAGGTGTGTGTGTGTGTGTGTATGTTACAAAACGAGTTGAGAATCTTAAGTTGTCCGTGAGTCCGCGTTCAAATCTTCTATTATGTGGACGCGGTGGTTTTGAATTTGTTCCGTTGGGAATGGGATAATGTAGGTGAAGCATTGTGAGTGGGTAAATATAATGGTCAGTGGGGAAATGCCTATAGACTTCAGTGAGATTAGTCCTTGTTTAGACTTTTATGTACTTAAAACATTTCATATTTTAGGAAAACCCAGATAAGTGCAAACCTTCAAGTTAATTATTAGCATTTGATGGAGATGCAGAATACCTACTTTCACTTAGTATTAATTCACTTTATAGTACATTTTTAAAGTCAATTCACTTTACAGTATATTCTGCGAAGCGCTTTGAGCCTTCTCGAAGGCGTGATAAGGTGCTATATCAAAAGCGAGGTTTATTATTGCTCTTTTGACTTAACTTGGCAGCAACTGTGATTGAGAGCTGTCAAGATCACCTTTGCTGCTGTATTTGTTGTGTGCTCAGCATCAGTTGCTTGGGTGGGGGTGAGCGTGGTGGTGAGGGTGCACACTTTGGTCAGTATTTGTGGTATGTGCACCTGTCAGAACCCACACAGTACAGGTTGTTACCGATTGGAGTCCAGCACCTGATCCAGTTAATAGGCAGGGGGGCGGTTGGGTTACAATTTAATGTTGGTTAAAATACCACATTTTACAGCTGCTCTATCCGCGAGTGAGAGAGATTGGGCAACATTTCAGCAGTGAAATGTGGTGACTGGTGCTGCACACAGACCCTGACTGAGCTGAATGCTTTGATAACCAATGTCTGCCCCCGTATATGCCACGTAACCGTTAGCAGAAGTTTATGCATCAGTCGTCGCAGAGGCTGCAGTCGCTTGGGATTTCGCTCGGGGTGATGTTTGTAGCTTTTATTACAAACGAGAGAGTTAATTAACCATTACCCTGCTGGCAAGTCTGTGGCAACTTCGGTCTCCAAAGGCTAACTGTTTTGTTTCAGCTTATGATGCAACTCGAGCATAAAGTTACGACCAGACTATTGATTAACCCAACCGCAAATAACCTTGTAAATAGTTTATATGTAATCACTGAGCCTTTCCGTTTCTTCCATTTTTGTATTGAACACTTGTTTGATCACAGTCCATTTTGGAGATGGAGTCAACATTTTTTCAAATAATGTTTGATTTAATTGATGAGAATACTGCTTTCACAAGCCATTTAACCCTGCAAACCCAAACCCTAACGGGTAGGGTGGTCCTAGCTGGACAAGAAGCAAGAAAACTTGCCAGACAGTGATATCAATGGCAAGCTATGCGGTTTTAGCTGGTTAGACTCCAGCGGTTATATCTGGGGTCCCCGAAGCCTTGGCTTTTGCCCACCTGCGCCTATTACTTTCCGGAATTAGGTAAGCAGGACACATCCCTCCAGGGAGTGAGCACACATTCCATTCCAACAATCTATCCCTGCAAATTCCATGAGTAGATGGGATGCATGGAATTAATTCTCAGTTTGGTTTGGAGACTCTTAAGCACGGTGATGGATTTCCGCATGAGTCAGACACCCGACGGACCAAAATAAGAGCCATCAAAATCTCCCCACCCCAAAAACTTACCAGCTTGATGGCCACATCATTTGGCCAAAGCAGAAGGCAACCACTGAGCTGTCAATCCACGACTGTTTGTGGGACACTGCAGTGCACAATTGGCTGCCGATTGCGAGCAGGGTGTAACGGAAAATAGTTTGCATTTTTTCGCCACTAAGACATCCAAACATTTGTGATACTGATTGATGGGAAATATTTTTGCTGAGTACACGGCAGCTTTCAGCTACCCCCAGGTGATGGTACTTCTCTTTCTAGATAAAATGGGCTTGATTTAATCTCTACTGTTTCACATCTAGTTTCAGTAAGTGTGGAAAAGGGCCAATTTCTTAGAAAGGTTACGTGATCCTGAACTTGGAGCTCATGAACTATTGAAACTGAAAGCACAGACATTGCTCTGTGTAGATATCCGTTTCTGTGGTGCATTAAATCCATTTTTGTTCCCTCGTGAGAAGAGATTGTGGGGGTATTGACCAAAGAAGGAACTGAGTTGGTCACTTTGACAACCTGGATTGCGTTGCCAGTAACGCGTCTACTGAGCTGCCAGTTCTGTGACTTGAGGTTGATCGCTTTACGGAGATTGGTATAGATATACGCCAATGTGTGGAGTTTGTTCTCTGGGTCATTCTGAAACGGGAACACTTGTTAGTGAATTGTGCTGTTCCAATTCACAATCACTGCTTCTGTTCCCGAAACCACAGGTTTGATTTAACTACTGTATAGGGTGGGTAGAGGTGGAACCGGGCCAAGAAATGTAGTAGGCTTGATGTTGAAAGAAACTTGAAATAGCAATAATCAAATTGCGTTGATACCGCAGTTTTCAAGTAAGATTAATATCTTGAAGCGCTTCAGAGATTTGGCAGAACCGAGGAACGAGAATCGAAGGGTTTGGGACCAAAGCCATGGTCGGGGAGCTTTCAAGAGTTTTTTTTTGAAGGCAGAACAAAAAGGGGCGAGGGGAGGAATTTTAGGGGAATGTTCCAGGGAGCGGGGACGTAGTGGCTGATGGAGGAAAGTTGTAAGTACTGAGATGTAGAGCATAGTTTGCAGAGAGGAAAGGAGGGGACTGACGGGGAAATGCGGACCGAAGGAGATGATGCGGGGGCAGAGGTTAGTTGCTGTGTTGGTGTACAAGACACCAGTGGAGCATGACGAGGATGGATGTGTGTATAACCTGTCACATTTTCCTCGTTATTGCAACCGTAAGAATGTGTAGGATATTCACGTTGCACTAGTGTACCTCCTCTCTTGAGTGAGTGCCAAATCTTCTCCATCTGACAAACGTGTGTTATCAAACCCCATATCAGGGTGCAGCATTGCAGCACAAAACATCTCAGAAGACTTTGGAGTTTTACCCGTGGAAAGTTTGGGCCACTCCTTCCACTGCTCTGGTTAATGTTTAGCCGTGCGGCTTGATGGAGCCTTGCTATATCCACTTGAATCAGGCTTTACTAACCCCATCTCGGGTCCGAATCTCTGACTTTCCGGTGCCTTGGGACTTCCTCCTGACGTGAAAGACGCTGCGTAAAGACGCTTGTTGTTACTAGAAGAACCTGGACGAGCCGGGCAATGGAAGGATGCTTCCCTTCTGAAATTGTTTTCAAAGCTGGAGTTTTGGATGAGAGTACAAGAGTGAAATCAAGTACTGTGCAGTTAAAGACTCACCTCTCAGTCACTATCTTGGCTTTCAGATGATTAGCAATAGGGCAGAAACAGACGCAGGAATGGACTCGTCGAACCTGTTCCGCTGTATCACAGTGAATCCTTTAATCCTATTTCTGCCTTTTTTCTGGTAGCGTTTCTAACCATCTTAAACTCTTAGTTTAAAGATAGTGTGAAATCGATTCAGGGTCCTGCTAAAGATTGGGGCAACAGCACATGTGTGGGCGAGTGTTTCAAGTGCACTGGGAGGTGTTTGGTTCAAATACGGAAAGTCTTATTAGAATGTAACGACTTGTTTAGTTTAAGGCAAAAGTGTTTTAAAAGTTTTTTTAAAAAAATCTGTACTTTACATTGTTCTATTTTTTAACCCCCAATCCTCGAAGCACATCTTAACACTATTGCCTCTGTTTAGGCGATTGATTAAGACAAGAGGAAGCGGACAGTCAAGATCCCAGACAAGATGAATATATTTGACAGGAACACGAACATCAATGCTTTGTTTAAATTCTCCCAGATGTAAGTAGCTAAATAAACCGTTGGGGGTGGGGGCGGGGGAAGAATTGAGTGAAATGTGTGACCCTGTTGTTGACTTGTGAAGGCTTATAACTGCAAACAGTATACACAGCAAGTTGGAGTGTGCGTGTTGGAAGCCAGTAGTTATTTTGAGTACAATATTTGGTGCCAGTTGAGTGAGAGAAGATGGTTGAGGAATCAGTGGCTTAAATTGGATAAACGTCTGGTCCCAACACTTGCTCTATTTACAGTTCACACATGATTAGAAATTTATTTTGATTCTCCAACCCCCCGCCTGCCCCCACACCACCCCGTATTGGGCTCCTTTCACCATCCAAGTGTCTGGTGTGAGGGTGCGGGTGTCTGGAGATATTGTCTCCAGCAGGGAGAGTCAAAGGGCTGCTCTTTGACAGATCTTAGCTGCCGGTGTCAGGGCTGTGTTGGGACAGCGTGGATTCCACTCCATCCCCCTGATGCTTACAGATAGAAGGGACTCCGATGGAGAGGAGAAAAGTACTATAGAATGTGGGGAGAGGGAGGAGGTGAGAGGTCTTGTTTGAAGCGGGTTAACAGATGCGCGGCAGACCATGGATCCATAACTGTAACGATTCTCTCTGCACACAGATCTCCCTCAACCCAGCAGCACCTGAAGAAGGTGTACTCCTCCCTGGCGATCTGCATGTTTGTGGCGGCAGCTGGTGCTTACGTCCATGTGGTCACAAGAATCTTTCAGGTTAGTTACCGTCGGTGAGGTGTAACTAACGAGCCACATCTGTGGCCTGTCGCTGTGTTGGTGATCGTCAGCCTGGCTCGGCTCGCCTCTGAGTCAGAAGGTAGTGGGTTCAAGCCCCGACGTTCAGATGAGACATTAAACTGAGGTCCCACTTGTGCCCTGTCAGGTGGACGTTAAACACCCCGTGGCACTATTTAAAAAGAGAAGAGAGTTTCTCTCTCTCTCTCTCCCCCAATGTCCTGACTAAGAATTTCCCCCAGATACTATTGATCATTCGCTTTCATGACTGTTTGTGGGATGTTGTTGGGCTCAAATTGGCTGCTGCATTTGCCCACAAATACCTAGTCAGTACACTTTACTCGTGAAACTCTTTGAGACATCACAACGACCTGATAAGGCGCAATATCAAATGCAGGGATTAATGTGTTATTCTATTAGTGAGAATTCCATTTGAAAGAGACGTTCTATTCAAAGCTCAAACCTGCTGGGCTAGTCTTGCTTTCAGACGGTCTCCCTATTACAGCATAATTGAGTTGAAAGGATCTATGCGATCCTAAAGCAATCTGCACCTCAGTAATTAAGTTGATCCAAAAATAAATGACCCCAAACTCAAGTCACTGCAAATTGCTTGTGTGAAAGTCACTTTTAAGTTCATTCTCCATCCATCTGCCAACTCTTTGCTTCCATTAGGATGTGTGCCAGCGCTGTAATTTTCTCCTGTGCATGAGTGAAATGTCCTGTCAAACCCGCTCCCGTCATTTTTAGGCCTCTTTTTACCTTCTAACCCTATTTCCGCACCTTTACCCTTCATACCGTCACTTCCAAAATTCCCGTCTGTCATCTGCAACGACTGCAATTCATGCTGCGTCAGTGGCTTTCACAGCCCTTTGTGTGAAGAAATGTTTTTTGGTTTCACTTTTAACCGACCGAGCGCAAACTTTCAGATTATGATTGATGAGTTCCTTCTGCCCTTGAGAATGTACCTCCCTTCCTCCCACACTGACCTGCTGATTATATGGGCAGCCTGCCAGAAGTGAAGACAAAATTCTCAAGTGATCGAGTTGGACATTAAGACTCAGTAAAGATTTGGGCCGGCTTGGCTCAGTTAATCGCAAGCTTGGCTCTGGATCAAGATCTTGTGGCTTCACACCACTGGAGTTCATGGTTGAGGCTGACGCTCATGCAGTGCTGGGGGAAACACTGCATTGTCAGTGGTGCCGGCCTCTGAATGAAACATTCCCGGTTGTTTGTTGATTGGCGGACGGCTTTCCCGGTGGGTAATAATCCCATTTTAAAAAATAATAATAATTTGGTCACTAAATCCACGACTATTTGTGGGGACGCTGCTGTGTGCAGTTGGCTGCCGCGTTTCCCCCATAAATATACAGCCACCACACTTTACAGTATATTCTGTGAAGCGCTTTGAAACGTCTCGAAGACGTAATGAGGCGCTGTGTCAAACGCAAGGATTATTATTGTTGTTTTCCTGCACCTGTAAGACAGCCGTCTGGTGACTGAGAGGTGGATTGTGTTTCAGGGCGGCTTGCTGTCCATGCTGCTGTCTCTGGGGCTGATGCTGTGGCTCTCGTTTACTCCACACAACAGTGAGACTGAGTCCAAGCGGCTCCTCATCCTGGCTGGATTCGCGTTCTTCACAGGTAATTCCCCCCCTGCAGCGAGCCGAGAGAGTGGCGCTCACCGTATTACAGCCCCTTCTCCACTGGCTCCCTGTCACACAGCACAACGATTTCAACACTCTTGGGTTTAAATCACTTCATGCCCAGCCCCATCTCTCTCTCTCTCTCTCTCTATCCCTCCATCTCTCCAACCTGCTCTCTCTCTCCACCACTATCCTCTACCTCTGCTCGACTGGCTCCAGCCTCCTCCTTGTCCTCCCCCGCTCCCCCTCCTCCCCACCATCGGCGGCCGTGCCTTCAGCCTCTACGCCCCGAAACTGTGGAACTCTCCCTCAATCCCTCCGCCCCCTCTCCCCTTTTTCAGGTTGCACTTGAAAACCTTCCTCTTCGACCATGCCTATAGTCACCTCCCCCTGGCTCGGCGTCGGGCACTGTTAAGAGCTCCGAGACGCCGTTCGGGTGAAGGGCGCTGTGTAAATGCAAGTTGTTGTTCTTGCACTGCAAGCTGAGCTCCAATTCTGACAGTGAAATGTGCACCCATTGTGTTTTATATGGCAGCGGTGAAGGTGACCCAATGTATAAATCTTTCCAGTGTAAATTCTTACTGTTTGACAGCTTACCTGGAGAAGATATACGCCCAAGCTGTTAGTGAGGACATTTATCACCTGAAATCATAGAATGCTACAGGGCAGAAGGAGGCCCTTCATTCAAGCCCATCAAGTCTGTGGCTGGCTGGCTCTCTGAAAGAACTGTCCGTTTAGTGCCAATCCTGCCCTTTCTTTCATACCATCACCAGCCAAGCCTTCAACCACTCTGCCCACACGCACACCCTCAGAATCTCCCTACCAAATCCCTCCCTCGCATTCTGTCTTCCCCTGAACACCTACCTCTTTGCTCGCAGTCTGCCTGCCGTGTGTCTCTGCCGAGTCCTGAACTCTGTAAAGTTTGCTGCCATTTGTCTCCGAAACCTTGTCAGGGGAGCGGTTTAGCGGGGAATGAGTGAGAGAATCTCCTGCTCCTCGCGCAACCAGTGGAGTGAGTTCAGTGATGATTAAGGACCAGTTTGGCTGTGCTGTTCCCTCTTTGCCCCCAACCATCTGTTGACTGGAGTTCTGATATTGGCTTCTGTTCATTGCAGGCACTGGACTGGGACCCATCATGGATTTTGTTATTTCTGTTGACCCGAGGTAAGCCAAGCCAAGTCTGTGCAGTTTGAAGGTCGTGTATTTGGATTTTCGCTCCTTTATTCTCTCTCTTACCACTATTTCTCCGTATTTCTCCTCAACGAGTGCAAATCTTTTTGCTGAGATAACCTTCCACAGGTGCCAAGGTTCTGGACTGGCTCAGTGGGGTGGAGTGTGCATCCATGGGTGGTGGGCACCACAGTCAGCATCAATGGGCTGTTCCACTCCAGGGAACCACAATGAAGCCAACTCCAGGGTTAGTGCGGGCTACACACAGTGAGCCATGCTGCTTACCAGTCTGGAGTGTGAATAAATGTCTTAACTTCTGGAGGGAGTGAGGTCACCACAGCAGGGGAGTGATTTACACTTTGCAGCTCTACAGAAGAAGGCCATTTGGCCTGCGGTGCCTGTGGTTGCTTTGTGAAAGAGCAATCCATTCAGTCCCATTGCCCTACCTTTCCCCCTGATATCTATCTTGTTGCCTCTTGAAAGCTACTGTGGATCCTGCCTCAACCAGCCCAACCGGCCGGACATTCACATGCTAACAATTCTCTGTGTGGGGGGGGGGGGAATAAATCCTAATATTCCCCCTTTCACTTTTGGTAATGACCTTGAATGGATCAGTAACAAAGAGAGGCCTGATTGGGTCTGGCCCAAGAATTAAGTCCAGGGGAGTTGTAGAAATGTGCGTGAGTGAGTGTGTGACAGGTTATCTTGGTGTCCGACAGGTCAGTTCTCTGTGTTTAATCCACTGCCTTGTTTCCTATTGCAGCATTATTCCCACATCATTCCTGGCCACTGCGCTGATTTTCTCCTGTTTCACATTGAGTGCTTTGTACGCCCAGCGTCGCAGCTATCTCTTCCTTGGAGGTAGGATATTCTGATCGAAAGTTAGCCTTCATCTCTCGTCTCACATGGCCTCCGCGATTGTGTTTATTGTAAGAGCTCCGTGCTGGCTTTTTAATTGATCTCTGCTTAAAACGGTGTCCGGAGCTGGTAAGAAAGAGACAGAGTTTGGATCTCCTCTGTGTCCCCAGCCCACAAATAAGTTAAGTAAAGCTCACATCAGTCTGATCTGTATCAATCGTATAATTTACACGGTTTATGTGTTCCTCCATCCTACCTGATCCCAACCCCCAGTGCCTTGGGGCATCTTCTTGAGGTGAAAGGCGCTGTGCAAATATAATTTTATATTGCATAATCGCCTAAGTCATACAACTTCCACATATAACTCAAACTTTGCAATAAGTCACAGTAAACGTCTGGTTCGACTTGTATTTTTTTATAGGTGGATCACACAATAGTCACCTGTGTCCATCTCTCTGTCTTCTCCAGATTCTCTCCTCACACTCCCAAACCCCCTGCTTCACACTGGGGCTCAATTATTACTTGGGCCTTGTGCCCCATTATCATGGGGCAGCCCTTGTTAGCTCCCTTTACACGTAGGTTGAGCGCCAATAACCCTACGATCGGGGTTTATCCCAGTCAGGGTTTCGCCCACAAAATACACAGTCAATTCACGTTACAGTATATTCTGTGAAGGGCTTTGAGACATCTCGGAAGACCTGATAAGGCGCTGTGTCAAATGTGAGGATTATTATTATTATCCTCCCGTCACAGCTTTACTGCCGTGTTTCTTTTGGCAGGCTCAGCCTTAACGTCAGACTGCTTGTTCTCTGCGGGTTCCTCGTGCTCGCGTGGCCCCATATGAGGGGCTGTGGCGCCATTGTCAAACCCCCCTCGTGAGCCATGGCTGATAACAAGGTGTCAGGTGGTTTATTTCTCTCCAGTATTAAGAGGAACACTCGGTTGCTTCCCTCTTGTGAATCTCTGCTGTTGTGTCTCCTCCAGGCATTCTGATGTCTTGCCTAACGGTGCTTTGCTTCCTCCCCTTGATCAACTTGCTGTTCGGATCCATGTTGCTCTTTAAGGTAAATGGGAGACGCACGTTTCTTACCCCCCCCCAAAAAAAATGCCCTGCTGTCCCCTGTGCGTGTTTTCCTTTCTGCTGCTCACTGACTAACAACTGAAATGTGTGGAAGAATGACGATAATTGTATTTAGAAGATACTTGATTGTATTCGCTACAAGCGTTTTGACTGTGTTCAGACGTCCAGAGGATCAGGGGGGACCGTGTGTGCGCGAGTGCGTATGAGTGTGATAGCGTGAGTGTGAGTGTGCGTGAGTGAGTGACTGAGCGCCGTCATTTTCATGGCGGATATTGATCCATTGCCGTGTTCGGGCCAGATCTTCCATAACAGCGACGATGGGAAATGCATCTCTGGCAGCTTGTTTCGGTTCCTCCGTAGTCTCTTATGGCTGTCTTGCAACGGTGTGGGGGGGGGGGGGGGTCGGGGAGGAGCACAGGACTCCGTGGACACCCTGTGCTTAAAGCCGACAGGGTCTGGAGCCGACAGGAGACGAGAGGTTGGGTTGCCTGCCTGCTGTATGGTTGGCAGCCAGAGAGTGATACGGTGCTAACTCCTGTTTCTATTGTCAGGCTCAGCTTTACATTGGACTAGTTGTCTTCTGCGGCTTCATCCTGTTTGACACTCAGATGATCATCGAGAAGGCAGAGAACGGTGACAAGGATTACATCTGGTGAGTGAGTGACCGGACGGAGCCACAGCCCCCGTTTGCCTACAAATAAACAGTCTCTGTACTTTATAGATATTACAGATCCACTGAGGTGGATAGCAATTTGTCAGGTCAGGGTATTAAGGGATTTGGGGTAAGGGCGGGAAATTGTTGAGGTACAGATCAGCCATGATCTTATAGAATGGCGGAACAAGCTCGAGGGGCTGAACGGCCCCCTGTTTCTATGTTTACTGTAGCTCGGGAAGTTTACACACTGTTATCAGTGGCAAGACTTATTTTTATTTGCTCTTAAACCCCTCCCGTCTGCAGCAGCCTGTTAGGTAGCACTCCGGGTGTGTGGCTCGCTTTGGCTACTTATCTTGTTTAAGGATTATTATTAAGTTCCATCTCACATTCTGGTCATTGTTTCCCCCTCTGCACCCGCAGCTCGGACGCCAATTAATGAGTTATTCCTTGCATTTGACACAGTGCCTTATCACGTCGTTGAGACGTCTGAATAAAACGCTTTGCGGGATATACTGTAAAGTGTAGTTAGTGACCGTGTGTTTTGGGGGCGAAACGACCCCAGAACCAATGGGTTTCACTTTTCCACAATCCTGGAGACACTGTCCCACGGAAAGAGATTTTCAGCCCAGGCCAACAACGACAACAACTTGCATTTATATAGCGCCCTTCACGCGGGATAGCTTCCCAGAGCGCTTAAAGGAGGCCCTTCAGCCATTGTCTCTGTGTTGCTGGTTCCCCTTATTATCGCAGGGATTGTTGAACGCCTTGAGACAGACGTATTCCCCGCCGCCCCCCCGATGCGAAAAGCGCTGTGCTGTGTCCGTGTAAATCTGTGCGGTGGTGTTAACTGTTCCCTCTGATCTCCCGCAGGCACTGTGTGGACCTGTTCCTGGATTTTATTGCCGTCTTTAGGAAGCTCATGTTACTGCTGACCATGAACGAGAAGGTTTGCTTTGGGCTCTGGGTATTTTATTAACTATAACTAGTAACTAGCAACGTTATTAGCTGCTCCCTCACCGCGCTCGTGCTTACACATCCCGAGCCAGTGTCTCGGGAACGAGGGGGGGGGTGGGGTTATTCTTAACGCCCTTCAAGCGGGGCAGTGTCTCAGAGCGCTTCACAGTGGTGGAGCCTAACGCCGAGCCGGGAGGAGGGAAGAGATGACCGGTCGAAAAAGGTCTTCATTCGTGACCTAAAAGAGGGGAAGGAGGGGCGAGGCGGAGGGATTGTGTGGGGAGAGAGAGGGAGAGTTCCAAAGTTTCGGGTGGGTAGTGGCTGAAAGCGCGGCCGCCGATGGTGGGGCAGAGGGGACGAGGGACAAGCAGGAGGCAGGGAGGGTGGTGGGGGAGAGAGAGAGAGGGACGCTAACTGGCTTTTTTTCTTGTGACCAGGAGAAGAAGAGGAACGAGAAGAAATGAGGGGACCGACCGGACCGACAATGGCGAAGATCTCTTTTCCTGCTTTTCTTGCGTTCATTAAAAAGAAAGATTGTGAGACTCTCTGACGACTATCTTAACGCTGGTGCTTATTTGTATCCCCAGACCGTCTAATAGGGTAACGTAGGTTTGCAGCAGTCTGCTTAGAAATGTGGCTGCTTTTTCCGGGGGTGGGAGGGGATGGGGTGGGGTGGGAGGGGGGTGGTGTTGGGGGTGGGAGGGTTAGTCAGTAGTTTTGTGAGTAGTTTGGAATGTTTCTACATCTTTTATTGCAGGTCATTGCTGAGATTGTTGGGTTGGGGGGGTGGGTGGGGGGGTTAGAATGGTGTCGTCATGGAAATCAATCAATGTTCTTTCTCCTTGGTCTTCCTTTCCCCCACCCCATGTCTTTTAACCACTGGCTCAAAGCCACTGCTTTCTCTCTCTTTCTCTCTCTCATTCTCTCTCTCTCCCCGCCCCCCCAACACACACACCACACACACACACACACACACTGACCACCATGTGTGTGCGCGCGCGTGTGTGTGTGGACGGTAGCCCCCTGACTGGAGTGACTGGCCACCACTGTGGGGTTTTTATTAACAAGAAGAAATTGCATTTTTACTAAGCCAAAATCCTGAGCTCTGCTTTCCCCTCCCACACTCACTCATTCCTCCATTCCCTCCCTCCCTCCCTCACTCCTTTTGCTTCTCCCCCCTCCCCCTTTAGATGTGCCAATTCGAATTGCTCGTGTGTGCTACAAGCACGCAATAGAACACGCCTGTCTTAACCCGGGTGGGCGGGAGGACAGGCTTTACGTTAATGATTTGTAGGAGCAAAGTGATCTCTGCTGTTTAATGCGCGGCTCCTAACTCACCGTTTAGAAAGCTGCGATTGCAATACTGTGAAAAAACAAAGGAAAAAAAAAACAAGCAATTGGTTTCTTTAACTGATGAATGGAGTCTTAAACTTTGTATTAATTCCTGTTCTTTGATTAAATAAAATGGCCATCAAAACAAAACCTTTTTCTTTTTCGCACACACACACACACACGCGCGAGTGCGAGCGCACGAGTGGGACATTGTGGTTTCCCTCCCAAGAGGAGGTTGCGCATAGATGTTTGTAACAAAAGAATATAATAAATTTGCCGCGTGGAAGAAAACCAAGGTCCTTCTAGTCGGTAATTGGAGTTGAGGTATAGATCGGTCAGTCGATCCAGTAGATTGGTGGAACAGGCTCAAGGGGCTGAATGGCCTCTTCCTGTCCTATGCAGTTCAATGCTGGGATCTGTTTGTGTCAACTGAGTTGTTTATCCCCCTTTATGAGCGCTCAACTGCCAGATAAGCAACTGTGTCTAATGGGATTATTTTGAGGAGAGAGGCACAGCCTTTGGTATGAGAAGAGGCATCGGGGCAATTGATGTGTATCTCGCTCTGCCCGTCAGCACCACTGCAACAAATTACATTTGTATGGCGCCCCGAGAATTTGCACCCGAGCTTGGGGGTTGGGATCGGGAGGGCAGAGGGGGTAGGAGGGTGACAGAAGATCACGGTCGAAAAAGAGGGTCTTGAGACGGGCCTTGGAAGGAGGCAAGGGAGAGGGTGAGGCGAAGGGACTGGGATGGAGTTCCAAAGGGTGGGGGCAGAGAGGCTGGAGGCCTGACCGCCAATGGTGGGGCAGGGAGCAAGTGAAAGGGAAGGAGCGGACAGGTCATTGTGGAGTAAGCAGGTCTCAGAGGTCGGGCGTTAACATCGAGGCCAGCACACTTTACGTTCCCCTTCAATGGTTGACTGGAGAAAGGGTCCACGGTCTCTCATAAAGAAGAGTTACGGAGTTTGACGGCTCAGTGACTCAGGGCCTCGTTCCGTCAGAATCGCGTTCAGTTGTTTTTTTCCCTTCGACAAGAAATGACTTGATTTACTGACAGTGGCTCGTTGTGTTTGGACAGAAGGTGGTGCTGTTCGCAAAGCCTTTGGTGGCCAATGGGACCTGGGGTTGGATCTCCAGCTGCAGGCCCGAGCTCGAGAACCCGAGGCAGGTTGGAGGTGGCAATAAATTTACAACCAATTCTCCATAAGAGCAACTCAAGAACTCTTTGACTCCACCTTCAGCCGCCCTCCACCCTCCCTGATCCAAACCCCCAGCTCGGGTCCAAATCCCTGACTGTCCAGTGCCTTGGGACGTCCTCCCGACGTGAAAGGTGCTGCGTAAATGTTATTTTGTATTGTAATTCCCAGCAGCAAAGACTTCCTCACCCCCCCCCCCCCCCCACACACAAACACGTGTATACACACACTAACACGCCTGGTAACTGCGCTGTTTCCATATCCACAATGGCGCCATCCCCAGTCATTGGGGATAATAATAATATAACAATAATAATCCTTGCATTTGATAAGCTCATGTCGTTGAGACGCCGCAGAGCACTTCACGGAAGTCAATCGACTGTGTTGTTGGGCGAAACGCGGCAGCCAATTGCGCACAGCAGTTTCCCACGAACAGTCGTGGATTAAGTGACCAAACTATCATTGTTATATTTCGGAAGGGATATTATTTCCCCCGGACTACCAGAGATGGGGTTTGCCTCTGTTTTATTTTTAGAACAGAGACGTTCAACGTGATTGACAAAAACACCCTCGAGGACAACCTACTGGTCTACCAACTTTATTGATAACCGCTTTACGTAGATCAGAAACCTCTCGGGCGTGAACGATAATCTCACTCGAATCCTTTTACCGATGACTCCGCTCGGGTGATTCCAAATCAGCTCCCGATATTGGGATTAGTTGGCGACACCGTCCTTCGGATGAATCCAACCTCTCAGTGCCCGTTCCGGTGAATACTGTTCGCAAAGAGAAGGGAGTTTCTCTGTGTGTCTTGGCCAGCAATCCTCCAGACCAGACCAATTGGGACATTGACACACACACACGCGCACACATACCCACACACACACACACACACACACAAGCGGAATAAGCCGCCGTCAGTCAGTGCTGAGCTGTCTCTCTCTCTCTCTCTCTCTCTGTCTCCCCCTCCCTTCTCTCTCTCTCCCTCCACCTTTCACATTAAAAGCAGAAGCATTGTGTGGCAGAGCTATTGTCATCGCAGAGATAGAGAGAGAGAGAGAGAGAGAGAGAGCGAGAAGGGCCTGAGCTACACACACATACACACACAACATACACAGACACACACGCACACAGACAGACAACATACACAAACAACGCACACAGACAACACACACCGCACACACACACACAGACAACATACACAAACAACACACGCAGACAACATACACCACACACACACACACAGACAACATACACAAACAACACACAGACACCATACACAGCACACACAGACAACATACTCCACAAACAACACATGCAGACAACATACACCACACACACACAGACAACACAACACACCTCTGCTTGCTGTCAAATGCCTGGGGAGGGGGAAATGGTACTGGGGATGGGTCTGGTGGGGTGGGGGGGATGGGTCTGGTGGGGTGGGGGGGAAGGGTCTTACCATCACCCGGGGGTTAATCACATCAGCACCGCACACATTGACAATTGGCTCTTAGGAAATGAAGGGGCATCCGGTGTAGGGTTAAACAGTAGTCAGCCGAGCAAGTCACCAGCATTGGCTTAACTCCACCAAACAACAGCAGCAACTTGCATTTTCCCTCCATTTACACAGCCCCAGTCAGGTCGGGAGGGGCCGAGACAGCGGAAACCCCAGTCTCTCCCCCACCGCCCCCCACTCTCCAGTCACCCGCTGTGCTCGGTGATGGGGGTGGGGGGAGGATAAAGTCAACACCCCCCACACCCCCACACACACACACACATACACTCTTTCCAAGGTGCCCCAGAAGCATCAGCGTGTCCAGTGAGTGAGTGTTGTATGTATGTATGTATGTGTGTGTGTGTTGTTTGTGTGTGTATGATTGAGTAATCGTGTGTGTCTACGTGTGTATGTAAGTCTGTGTGTACGGGTGAGTGTGTGGGAAGGGGGATAAGAGTGGATCTCTGGCGTGGGAGCCTGGGCTGATTCTCCCCCTCCCTAACTGTGGGGAAGGAGGGGGGAAGACAGGGGTCACCGAGCCAAATATAGCTCTCTTTCCTGCCCCCGCTCTGTGTGCTCTGTGGAGGCATATAATAATAATAATAATATAATAATGATGCATTTCATTCAGAGGGGCACTTCACATCTCAAAGCGCTTCACATGGATTAACTGCAAAGCGTGGCAGCGACTGTGTTTTGCAACGAACACCCACAAAATACACAGTCACTACACTTTACAGTATATCCTGTGAAGCGCTTTGAGACGTCTCAATAAGGCATCATATCAAGTGCGAGGATTATTATTATAACTGGGTCTTAAGATTCAAGACGAGGCGGAATAGTGGAGGGTCCTTCGATCGTACGGATTGAGAAACCAAAGTATTATTTTTTTTAAATAATCTTTTGAAGGGTTTATTAGCCCAGGAAACGTGAGCCGCCGTTCGACTAACAACCGGGTTTCCCACTTACTGCGAGGTGAACAGAGGCTCGGGCGCGTGGAGTAAGGAAGCTCGCCTAAGGTTTCGCCCTGACCTGACCCACCCGGGAATCGAACCCGGGTCCTCTCGCTTGCGAGGCGAAGGTCCTAACCACTGAGCTACGGGACTTCACGATGCAATGCCAAACTCTGTGTGTGTGTGTGTGTGTGCATTGTCCTCGGGCTGAGAGAGTGGGGGTCAGCGTCGCTCACCCCCCCCCCCCCCGCGTTCCCTACGCTTTGTTTTGAAATCAGGTCCACAGTGTCGGTCGGTCGGTCGGTTTCCTCTCCAGACTGCTCCTCACTTCCTATCCCGAGACTGCGCTGCGCGATTAGCTTCCTGTGACCTCAATAAACTTCCCTTTTCCTTACTATTCAGCCACAAAAACAAGGAGCAGCATTGGGGGTGGGGGGGGGGGGTGGGTGCGGTGGGGAGAGAGAGAGAGAGGGAGAGAGAGAAGGGGGGGGGAAAGTGGGTTGTTTGAGTGAGCGCACTTCCCGAGTGATTCCCAAGTGGGGCAAATGCGGCAGCCAACTTGTGCGCAGCAGCGGAACTGATTTATTTGGGGGTTTGATCCCCAGCCAGGACAGCGGGACAAACTCCCTGCTCTTTTCCAATATTTTTTCTTAACGCCTCATTTAAATGACGGCACCTCTGCCAACGTAGCATGTTCTCCCCACCCCCTCTCCCCCCGCACCACCTCCCCGTTCCCCCCCCACACCCACCCCCCCACCCACCCTGCTACACTGAGCGTCAGCCTGGGCTATGTTGTACTCGCACTCGGTCGCTGAGATTGTTAACACTTTAAAGGCCGGACGTCGAACAGATCTGTGCAAATCCGGACGTGCATTGTAAACATAAAATAGTTGGGGAAACAGCGAAAACACTCATTGCAGAGGTTACACACACACACACACACACACACACACACATAACTCCCACACTCCCGCATAACACAAACATACCCATACGCACACACACATGCGGCATATCCACATGCAACCTACACCCACAACACTCAAACCACATGCACACACACGCGCGCGCGCGCGCACACAGACACACACACACATTCACAACACACGCACCACGACACAATACACCCGCCTAACATACCAGCACACAGACGCAGCCACACAGACATGCCAAAACCGCACCGCACACACGAATCTACACGAGCGCAGCGGCAAAAAGATAAGTTATGTACGTGTGCATGTCCTGTACGTGTAGGGGTAGAACACACATCGCACGTACACAAATTCCCAGCACACACAACAAACGCACACGGCGCCCTTTAAATAAAATCTTACGCTGGGGGGGGTGGGTGGGGGGGGGGGACAAACATAAGGAGCGTGTAGAGATGTCTGCAGCAAGCAGCTGGGCTGGTGTTGAGAAGGCAATGCAGCACTGCAGCCCGACACACACACGCCCTCATTCAGCGCGGAGATTTAATAACCCCGAGTGCTGCTGTGCGCTCCCG